TAAAGGTAATTGTCAAACCAGCCTGACTTTGAGCTGTTATATCGTGTGTCTGGTGGACCATTCTCCCTTCAAGTGTACCAAAGCTTTTCGGTTTTTCACACTACTTATGGCGGCAGTAACACTCCATCACTGGTGCCAGCGAACATCAGGCTAATTGCTGACTTTGACGAGTTCATAATCCCCTCACGATATTCTATGCCTCATTCAAAGATTACTTGGTCACCTGACCAAAGTTACCAACAGTAACAAAGCTTATTGGGGTGACATTGGCCACCAAGACAGTAACATAATACAGGATAAATGTGTTTGGATAACATCAAATATGTCCACTATTCGTTATTAGCAAAGTGACGACAGAGATAGTTACACTGCTACTTTCTTAGCAACATGATCCACAGATGACAGTGTACCGTATGTTAAATACATAAATAAATAATTCTTTTATTTCTCGACGATGCGAGAGACTGTTCCCGCATAGGGAAAGATCAAAATATTTACAGATTTTTTCATTTAGTCCCCTCTACATATTAGACGGGAATATGCATTATGTTATGTCCATGTCAATTTCATACATGCGCGTTGTTCAGGGTGAAGTGCAGAAGATTGTGCTGAGGTTATACCTTCCGTTAACGGATGTCCCATCGATCTGAACCAGCGCCGTCTTACCAGGTAGAAATTCGACTGTCGTGGATGAGCCATTATTACAAACTCCCGCTGACGCGCTATCCAACTTCATCGGTCGATTAAAACACATTCAGAAGTCCCGATTCGTTGTGGACTCAGGGAGGAAATAAAATAAACAGTAGTATCAAGGTAGGTAAGAAATGACTATAAACTGATTCTAGTAAAAAATAAATAAAGCGTAAATGCCTGGCAAAGAATAATCCAAAAATGTAGACATCCGTTTGCAAGGGATACATGAAATTTGGCAAGCGTTCTTGTAATTTCTCTAGTAGTTGTTTCCGTTCATCTGAAAATGCGGACTCGTGCCGAAAGCCTGACCCTGTGAGAAAAATACTTCAGAATGTAACGAAGATTCTACTAGCGACAGACTCGTGCTAAGTACACTGAGAGCGAAAGGTGCATCATTTGGTAAATGACAACCTTTCAGTACGACGCAGCTATAATAGGAATAGTGACCTAGATGGTGGCAGCATAATTTCTAAATTGTCAAACGAAGTTTAAAAGGTGTGGTATAGCACAATACTATATGTGCTCATGAGTTGTAGTGGCCATATATGGCAGCTATACTCCAGATTATTGCAGCATACAGTAAGGCTTGTGTGCTTCACCAGCCATCACCTCTGTGGTTATTCTGAATGATGTTAACTTTTATTACGCCAGTACGAATAATAGTTTAAGCGTGGAAGAGCAGGTCTGTAAAAATATAGGAGTTGGGTGTCCACCCATCATTGAGCTTGAGAGTTAACGGGCACATGGTGGGAAATGGAGTCCGGTTAAAGAGAATTTCATGAAGATGGCCAAGCTAGAGTGTAGTGGCGGTCGAAAATCCTGGAAGTCCGGATATCCGAGATGACAGGGGCCACTCTGACACATAGTTAACTTTCGGGCTAGGTTAAATGAACATGAAATATTGAAGAGCCAGATGGCAATAATATAAGGAAAAGGATCTGGCTTCTGATTCTACCAGTCTGCCAGTGTTGACTTTGGCAGATGGCGAGCGTTCAAGTCTGATAAAAGTTAAGAGATGGTGAGGGCCAAGATGAGGTGAAGTGGATTGACAAAAACTGGGTCACATTTGTTTCCTCAAAGGAATAGTTAACCAACTATCTGGAAAGTTATGATATGTAGTACCTAAGTACACTTTTTTCAAACTAAGACAAGGCAAAAATTAAATCAGATTATCAGTAACCAGTGCAGGACGGTTAGGATAACCAGTGAAACTAAGTAAACCGAAATCTTCTAACGTTAGGCAATCTGGTAGCCCAAGCAGGGCAAATAAAACATTGAACATAGCAAAAATAAAATAGCATAGACGATAACTAGGGTCAGGAGTTAATTTACGAGGTAAGATCTAAGCCGAGCATAATTTTGTGTGTGGTATCATCATCATCATACACGTTAGCTAGAGGTGGGGAACACCTCAGCTACTGTGCCGCAAAACACAGAAAAAAGGAGAGAAAAACGAATTCAACTGGGGGCAAGCCGGCTGAGCTACTGGTAACGGATGGGCATCGTTCCGGTAAGCTACCAGCCGGTTACTATGCAAAATTATGTAAGGTTAAATAATGAGATCGTGGTTGGAGGGGGAGGCTAAGAGGGATGGGGTGGGACAAAGAAACTCACAGTACGAACGCCACTGAGGTCGGCTCCTTGCCATATCAGCATGTGTGTCCAACCAAACGTGTTCATCGTCTTTCGGGCCCCAACCAGGGAGCCGAGATGCTCCAACCGAGGCCAGCTCCGAAGTGAGGGCCTTCATTCCTCTTGACCAAGTCATCGCTTGGCCACCCCTCCTCTTCTTCCATTCACACTCCCGGCGCGCAAAAGACGCACGTCGCGGGAGTCGGTGGACTGGCATGTGTAACACGTGGCCGAGCCATCGGAGCCTGATGCATGAAATAACGGTGCTGAGCGGTTCAGTTCCTTTTCCTGTGCCATAAACAAGGCGTCGGACACGCGTGTTGCTCACGCGGTGTTCCCACCAGATGTGAGCTAAATTACAAAGGCACCGGTGGTCGAACGTAACTAGCCTCTTCAGGTCCGCTGCTTTAAGCGGCCAGGTTTCACAACCGTATAGTGGGGTTGAACGTACTGCTGCATTGTACACTCTACCCTTCAGGGCAAGTGATGTCGCGCTGGCGCCATAAGTGGCGTAGGTTAACAAAAGCGCGCCGAGCTTTTGCTATACAGTTCGTGATCTCATCTTCAATCCCACGGGCGTTGATACAACTTCCCAGGTAGTTGAATTTTTGAACGACTTCTAGCTGATCCCCACCAACGGTCAGCGTAGGGGGCGGTCCAGACCAATCTTGGAGGAACGCTTTGCACTTCGAAGGTGCGAAGCAAAGCCCGAAGGGACGGACAGCCAGTGCTAATCTGTCCAGTGCCGCTTGGCACATTTGTGAGCTGTTACAGATCAGGGCAATATCATCAGCATATTCTACGTCAAGAAGTCGTTCTCCTGGGAGTAACTCCACACCATCTAAGTCGTGTCCTGTAAACGCGATTTCCATGACTTCATCAACAGCGAAGTTGAAGAGGAAAGGTGACAGCGGGCATCCTTGTCTCACGCCGCTGGAGATACTAAAGGACGACGACAACTTGCCGTAAGCCCTCACTCTGCCCGAGCTACGAGCATACAATGCTCGGATAATATTCACATATTTCTCAGGTACACCTCTCCTGAGTAGACAGTCCCAAAGTGCATGTCTATTCACCGAATCGAATGCACCTTTGATATCGGGGAACACGACAATGGTGGGCCGCCAATATATGTGACGGTGCTCCACCAACTGACGCAAGGTGAAGATGTGGTCAGTGCATCCACGACCTCGACGAAATCCAGCTTGCTCTTCACGAATCTGGCTTTCACGAGTGCCAGTCAGTCTGTGAAGGATGACAGAGGCAAGCGATTTGGAGACGATGGAGATCAGACTGGTATATGTGAGACTGGACCGTTAACGTTCTATGGGGCCTCTACCATAAATATCGTCTAGAGATGTAGATTCGCCCTGTATACGTAATGCCTCCTGTACGGTGAGGTGCTTGAATACTTGAGCTCGAAATGTATGCTTAGTGTTGTTGCATGTAATGGAATCTGGCGGCGTTGTGTACGTTGTGTACCTTATGCGAAGGAATTTGGCGCGCAACCTTGTACCCATTCTAGGGACGCAAAATCTGGATAATGTATTTCTAGTTGGATCTTGATGAGAAATGCCAAACTGGACAGTATCTGGTTCCCCAGAACTGGTATGAGCTAAAACAAACAGGAAGAAAAGATTACTCTTAATTCTTCTCAATCTTAATGGTTCTAGCTTCAGCAGTTTACACCGTTGTTGATAAGTCAAGAATCCAAACGTTGTACTTTTTCACGATTGATTTAAATTTGTGAATACTAATGGGCAATATTCTAAGTGGATGCGCATATGATTTATACATAGCCTAGGGTCTTTCAAGCGTAATGTATTGAGAGTACTTGCTATGATAAATATCATTTTGGCGGTGACATGATGTACATGTTCGGAGAAATTGAAAGAGCTTATGTAGCGAACTCGGAGGTCACGAATTGTTGTGCAGCAGGCAATTAGTTTGTCATCTAACGTCAGTATGTCATTAATAAGGTTGTATCTGCCAGTAATGGGTTAGCAAACCCACAATTGGTTAACTTTGTTAAAAGTTCTGCATGGGGTACGCGGTCAAATTCCTTTTCCATGTCTAAGAAAAGAATAACCATCGACTGCCCGGAGTCAGCCGACTTGGTTACGTAGTCCGGAAATTCAAATTGGCAAGTTTGACATGAACGATCACGGGGGAGTCCATGTTGCGATCAGTCAATCAGCTTTCGTGAATTAAGAAACTCCATGACTCTGCTTATTTTTTCATACTACGAGTCAATATGGAAGTATGACACCGGCTGTTTGAGAAGTATACCCAAGACTGAATATTCTAGTTCATTATAAAATGATTTCAAATTAATGTGAAATGCATTTTCAACACAAAACCAATTTACCACATAAAATAAGAAAAATAAGGGTAATCTAGGTTTTATACTATTTTTCATGCTGACCCAAAGTTACCCCAAGAGGCCAAAGTTACCCCATTTTACGCTACCGTTAATCTCGATATGTATGCTTTGTTTGGACGTTTATCTCTGTACTTTTTGGACGGTGTTGAACCGACATCCGAATTGCTGTATGTTACCTCCTGCTCGGTGTGTGCTCCAACGCTTGATGAGTGTTCATGAGCATTTTCCAACGTTTGACAAGATTTGCTAGGATCCCACTCAGTGTTGATCTCCTCACTACTTTCCTTTTTAGCCGGCGCAGATATCAAAGAGATGCACGGTCGTCCTTATTCGGAGGTGTATCGCACCAATTTTCTGTCATCCTGGAATCGCGTCGCTCTGCATCGCAAACCAATCATCGCTGCTGTCTGCGGTTACGCTCTCGGTGGCGGATGCGAACTGGCCATGATGTGCGACATCATATATGCCAGTGACACTGCCAAATTCGGACAGCCAGAGATCAAACTAGGCACTATTCCTGGCGCCGGCGGGACTCAGCGGCTGATTCGCGCCATTGGTAAATCCCGGGCTATGGAATTAATCCTTACAGGTATATTCATCCCTGCTTTGCTCTGTGTGAAGTGAAGTGTGTCAGCTTATACGCCGTAACGGCGCTTCGCTGCCGCGCGACCACCACCAGTCGCGCGCGGGCTGAGTATACCGCGAGGACGCCCACCCCTACGCGGATTCGAACCGGTGACCTTATGGTTGGAAAGCAAACGTGCCAACCACTCGGCCACCGGCCGACCTTGCTCTGTGTACCGATTCGCGGTCACCATTGCATTTTGCAGTTGCTTTCTTTTCTCTCCTCGTTTGATACTACTGCTTCTGATGCGCGTCATGCTTGCAAATGACGGTTTCACTTGTTCACTATAAGTTTAGTGATGGATTGCCTTTCGGGCGGATTCTGACAGAATACTAATGCTTTTACCGACGCTTCATTGCGATGCTACTGCAGGCGGTTGTACACGTGTTGGGATACTGCAGTGGCACTCTACCCTTTGCAGGATCGAGGACGCTCCAACCCAGCGATTAGAATTTGCAGCTTATCTGTACTACATCGGAACCTTGTATGTACACTTCCCTGCTGCGGTCCCATGCCTACCTTGTTACTGTGAGGTCGCACGTGGTTCGGTCACGTCCTACGCAAACCTGACACTGACTTCATTAGGGATGTGGTTTCGCTGTCGCCTTGCCAGGGTTGATGTCGTCACCGTGGTGAACAATTGAAAACGTGGCTCGCTGCAGTTAAATCGGATGTCGATCTTCTGGGACTCCAGGTTGTGCATAGTGCTCGTCACGAGAAATCATTGGATCAGTTTCTGCGTGGACCTTGCCGCTGATCACCGCGTTTGGCCAACTGCAATCCGCGACATTCATGAAACCGCCTCATCCTGTCGCAGGAACTAGCCGCAGTAAATTAAGGTAAGTAAGTGTTCGCACGTACACACGGACTGTGGTTGTAGGGCACACCTGAATCACCGCAACACGAATCCCCTGCTTACCTATCAACCACCCCGCATTCACCCATTCGTGCATTGTTTTCGCGTATTTTACTGGACCACATTTCCTCTTTCTTACTTTAATTTTGTGTTTCGCCCCCTACCATTGGATGATGGCTACGTTTTGTCCCATCTCATCACTTGACTTCACCTTGTCGACTTCTTCTAGCTACGGATGCGAAATGGCCACTGGCCGAGTGGTCTGCACGCCTGGCTTGCAATCACCGGTTCGAATCCGCGTAGAGAGTGGGCGTCCTCGCCGTATTATACTCAGCCCACGCGCGACTGGTGGTGGTAGTCGCGCGGCAGCGAACCGCCGTTACGGCGTACAGCTGACACATTCTCATTATGATTTCATCTTTGCCTCATTGCCGCCTGCCTATTCACTCGGTTCCACGAAATTTCATTTTTTTACGCACACAGCTATCCAATGAATTATAGCGGTCCGCTCATTTGCATATTCCGTCCGCATGCGGTTGCCAAGTGATAAAAGCATTGAATTCCTTCTAAATCAATGAACTGTTCATCCACTCACATTTACTCAATTATTTCTTCACCTCCGCACACGACTCACCACGTTACGAATTGCATTTCTTTTATCTTCCTGAATGTTTCGCTCCCCATGCTCAATGGAATTCACCTACTTATGTCTTCTATCTCCGTCTTCTCCCCCTCCCTTCATCGTTTTTTTGAAAGTTGTGCACTTTTCGTTTCATCCACAGGGGACACGTTCACTGCACAAGAGGCTGCTGCGGCCGGTTTGGTCAGCCGCGTTTTCCCTGCTGCTGATGTCCTACCGAAGGCTATCGAACTAGGTGACAAAATTGGCCGATTCTCTGGCCTGGCCGTCCAAGCTGCCAAGGAAGCCATCAACGCTTGTAAGCTGCCTTTGCTATTTTCGCTATGCTCGCCGTATTCGCTTCTCTCTATACCATGGTCCATTCCCTCGTCCAACGGCTCACTAGTTCGTGTCATTATTGGGCGCTGATTTCTTCAACTTTAGCGGTTATCTCAACTTCCAGGAGGGTAATAGAGAACTTTAGTTGCTTTATGCACACTTCCTCCCGGCTATGCTCAGTTGTTATCTTAACTTTGGGAACGCGTTGCTCCTGAGGGGACTAGCCTATCTTTTATTCGACAGCACCATGCGCAGCAGTGAAGGTCGAGCCGTCCTTTACGAAGACAGTTGCTTAACCACGTTGGCTCCCGGCATCCACTGTTGTGAACAAGCAGGCAGCTTGAGATGGCTCACCGTAAACTTTCACTAAGCGCATTCCGATAACCACTGATCACTCTTCAATTCGGCTGACACAATCTGTCGCATAAGTCGGTCTTTCAGTAACCAGAGGTGTACTCGGCAGCACGTTTGATCCATACGTTACTTCGATATCTTGCTGCTTCACTTCCACTAATAACGTCGAATTTTGTTTCTACTCCGTCATACAGGCAAGAAGTAACTCACCGTAGCACATCCGAACGTTCATCAATTAGTGGGGCCACGTAGAGGACAATTACGCTCGCTGCGTCCAGTGGGTAGATCAGTTATGTTTACCTCATCGGTTGTTTGTTTTTTTCCCTGCTTCAGTTCAGTTCATTAAACAAATATGATTAAAGCCCCCAACTTTCCGCAAAACGCAGCAAAATCGCGGAATTTACTAACTGTCGCGGAAAATATGAGAAATTCATAATGATAGCTACTTTGCAATCGATTTTATTGTAATCAATATACTATTATGCGGAAGTAATGCCTAAGCAGCCAGCTGGCTACTGGAACGTTTCTCTGGGGTGTTATAACCGCCATCTGTCTACCATCTGCTAAGTCCCCTTGCCTACCTATTTACAGCTACGGCCCCGGTTTTATCCCGACCCCAGTTTCCATCGTGCATCTGTTCCTTAGGCAACCATGTCCCATCTGTCTGCTTACGCTGTGCACTCACTTTATTGTCCACTATACAAACACCATTTGCCCACATGTACACTAAATCTGTTTGACATCTACTCCTTCACACCTTTTGCACACAACTTGCCGCAAACAAGACCCCCATTACAGTCACCCACGAACGGTTTTCTTTTCCGATGGCGCAAGTTATATGACAGCATGCTACCTAGATATCCTTAAGCCTGTTGGTGAGGATCCAGTTCAGATTGCATGTATTGTCAAGTGTATCAATTTGCTCGCAGAGACACCTCGCAAGTTCCCTCCGGAAGTTGACGAATTCGTTGCAAAGATGAAAAGGGACTTTCCTCTTTCGGGAAGAAAGGGGTATCTACATGGAGTATGTAACTCATGAGGGCGTGGACAACCCAGCCGACCCACTTGCATCGTTCATCACTCGCTGGAACTCCTGGCTGCAATCTGTCACACATCACAGCAAGTATTTCCATCCTTATCTTGTCATACTGTAAGTCGCACAACATGAGCTTGTAGACTGAGCTGATATTTGTGTACCGGTGCATATTCCAACCAACGAAACAACAAAGAAAGCTTTGGGATGGCAACTGCGTTGCATTGCAACCGTTTGTAAGATCATTATCCGTCACCTGAAAACTGGCGAATTACAGCCTCGGGTAATCCATAAGATTTATGACGATCTCTTTGATCTATCCATGTCTTTGAAACTGCCGCTGAGGAAAACTTGCTGCAGCATATGCAGGCAGAGGGACTCAGCCTGAATGCGTCCAGTAAAATCCAAACTGACATGCAACTCTGTTTATCCCAAGCTGCTATGAATGCCCCAGGAGTTGCTGTCATCACAGGCTAAGTGGCCGTTTTTGAAAGCCATTAGGGTGCTCGACCCCAACCATCTCATTATCTTATCCAGTGATCCATGCAGCTATACCGACGTTCCAGCCCTAGTTGGGTCCTCAGCTCTGGCAACCGAATAAGGAAGTACTGAATGGCGCAAAATGTAAAGACAAGCTGGCCTTCTGGTGCGGGATGAATGGAAGAACTCCACAACTGGCAGACATTCTCCCCTCTATTATGTATGCATTTCTGTGAATTCGGTTGACGCCGAATGGAGCTTCAGTGTCTATAAAAATGTCTAACAAGCGTCACAACCTTACAGACAGTAGCACGAAGCACCTTCTTGAGATTACTTTTAATTCCTCTGTTTTGAATCATGACTGATGTGTATATAGTGGATGAGGGTGCCTTGATTTCTGTTTATTACAATCTTTACGGTGGAGTCACGGAATTTTCTTTGCGTCGCAGAACTTCCGCGGAATTTTCGAGTTCGATCTGGAAAACCTGTTTCACCACCGCAGAACACTGGGGTCTTTAACTATGATCCGAGCACCGAACTGCCGTGGATCCAGTTGCCGACTCCCATCGCAAGAATAAAAATTAATAACAACGACAAGACAGTGGAATTTAAGGCAAATAAAATGCAAAGTAAATGAAGGCAATAAGAAGTGCATTAAATTAATCAGAATGGAACGAAAATTAACTATCAGATGCAACAAACCTAATGCAGGAATGTCGCTAACTGCGCCATGTCTGATACCGTTTCCAATCTTTGGTGTGGACCATCCCGATGCCCACATCAGCCTGACCAAGTCTCTCAAGCAATTTCTTTATTCTTCTATGCCACGTCATGAACTGGTCACCTCGCGGTTTCGCCCAATTTGGTGCAACCACGGCATACAATGACCACAGAGGAAGCCGATCATCGGGCATAAGGAGGACATGGCCTAGCCAACGTAAGCGACTAAGATTCAGCAAACACTCTAGTGTAGCGTCAGAAGGTCTCTTGCCAACTAACTAACCGACCTCAGCATTGCTCACTCAGTGTTTCCACCAGACGTGAGCTATAACTCCTCAAGCAACTGATCAAACACGGTCAAGCGTTTAATGTTTTCATTGCGAACTGGCCAAGCCTCTGATCCATACTGGCCTTATTGCATCGTTATGCACCCTACCTTTCACTGGCACGCTGATATCCAGCCGCTCCATAGATGGTTCTCTGGAAAAGCACACGGGCCTTGCTGATACGCGAAGTAACTTCCCTAGTCATGTGACCACCAGAGGTGACAGGTACCAAGGTAAGTGAACCGACCCACCACTTCCAGCGGCTGCTCGGGGATAGCTATAACGGAAGGTGGTCCAGTCCTGCTGCAGTACTTTGCAATTTGATGGTGCAATGCACATGCCGAAGTGTGCAGCGCTACGCATCAGTCTATCCAGTAGTGTTTGTATAGCCAGTGCATCAGACTCAAGAAGAGCAATCTCGTCCGCATACTCCAGGATTGTCATTCGGTCACCTGGCAGACCTTCCACTCCGGTAGAATCTGAAAGAACCGAATCATTCATGATCATTTCGGTAACATAGTTGAAAAGGAAAGAAGATATAGGACAATCCTGTCGAACCCCCTTTGTCGTGGGGAACTTAGGAGACAGTTTCCCGTAAACCCTTACATGGCCTCGATAGTCACGGTAGAGAGACTCCGGAATGGAAAAGAATTTAACCTTTTCCTCTATTTACTCCGATTGGGTACTCCTATCTCACATTTCACCTTAAGCACAATGAAGCAAATCGATGTGTGGTTCCGGTCTGTACACAGTTCATCCACGCACCTACTTTATGACTTAATGCATAAGCATTGACTTGATGTCGCAATGACAGAAAGGATGTCAAACCTCTTATTCTACTCTTAATCACAGTGTCAATCCCTCGTCCCTCTGGTATTGCGGCATCTGCACATTTCAGCTTTCCCCTTGTGACACACACATTCGAACATTATTTCGCGGAAATACCGCTTGCCTTTCCACCTGCCACATTTCGATATGTGGGAGAACGTTCTAGCTGTGACGTGTATTTCACTAATTTTTCTTCAAATGCATTGTACTTCGTAGTGGCTTGCACGTCTGGCTTGCAATCATAAGGTCACCGGTTCAAATCCGCCTAGGGGCAGACGTCCTCGCGATATACTCATCCTGCGCGCGACAGTGAGGCGCCGTTATGGCGCACATCTGACACATTATTATTCACATAGAAGATCCCTAGCATAACACAGATAAATCCATGGTTTCTTCAGAGTGTGAAAACACTCTTGTGCACCAAATCCCATAGTTCGACATCAATCATCATCATTCGACACATTAGCTAAGTTCGAGAAAAGCTACAACTATTGTGCCAAAACACTAATCAGTTAGGTTACAGCAAAAATAGAAAATGACTATATGACAAAAGTATCACTATGGTTTGGTGTTGTTCCACCCGACAACAAATCGCCTGCATTTCGGATACGGTCCTTGTGATCGGAATGACCGTGATTTATTTCAAAGTGGACCGAGGTTTCAACATAAATTGCTTGTCACGCTCCAACTACACGGTGGGTACTTCAAATCCACCTTTGAATTGCTATGGGTTCTTTTATTTTGTGCATCGTCAACGAGTTCTTGGTTGGAGGGGGTCTAAACGGGATTGGTTGTGAGCAAAAATAGCCGCAACATAGATACCGCTGAAATCGGCTCTTATCAACAAGTATATCGAACCAAACTTGTTTATACTCTTTCGGACCTTAACCTTTCCTCCATCCAGCTTCAGGGCGCGCAATAACTCACGACGTGGCAGTCGGTGTGCTCACATGCGTAACACGTAGTTCAGTTATCGTAGATTGGTGCGTGATATAATGGTACTGAGCAGTTCACTAGCTCTTCCTGCTCCATAAACATGACGCTGAATGTGCTCATTGCTCACGCGGTGTTCCAACTAGGTGTGAGCTAAACTGCGAAGGCACCGGAGGTCGAATGTATCTAGCTTCTTTAGGTCGGTCGATCCGATGTGCCAGGTTTCACTACCGTACAGTAGGGTCAGACACACGGATGCATTGTATACTCTGCGCTTCAAGGCAAAATTGATGTCGCGCTGGCGTCATTACTTCTAGAATTGATAAAGTGCCTCGAGGTTTCGTTATACAGTTGACCATCTCTTCGATCCAGCGGGCGCTAATGTAGTCTAAGTACTTGAATTGCGGAGGGACTTCTAGCTGATCGCCGTCAAGGGTCAGCGCACGGGTGGTTCCTTACCAATCTTAGTGAAGAAATTTGCATTTGGAAGGTGCAAAGCATAGCCAGTCCTGCTTGGCATGTTTGGGAACTGTCACAGCTAAGGGCTATGTCGTCAGCATACTCTAAGTCAGGAAGTCGATCGCTTTGGAGCAGCTCTACAATCAACTCATCACTAGTGAAAACACTTACATGAATTCGTCGATCGCTAACTTAACAGAGTAGAAGTGTGTAGCATCCTCACGGCCTGTTAGGAAGGAATACACGAGTCGAACAAGCCAGGACCTCATCGCCTCGGCCGGCTATCCAAACCCATCCGCCCTGATTGGGGCGAACAGAGAGCCAACCAGGAGAAGCGGCCAATGAACGCTAGGTTGAAGTTCTTTTATTGGCCGTAAGTTAACCTTTCCAGAGCTTTCCACGGTCGCTTTAAATATACTGTTCACG